ATTTTTTTCACGCAGATTTATTTGGGTAGGTTTCGAAAACGTTAACCTTTTTTATGATTTCTGAAGAAGAAAAAAAGAAGACTATTATTAAATTAATAATATTTTTATTTGTTGCACATTATTTTCCCAGAGTAAAATCAAAGAGGAATACAATTATGGAAGCTATACATTTTTACTTATATGTTTCTTTTTCTTAAATCAGCTAAAAATGATCTTGATTTTTTAATAATTACAACTGTGGAAACTTATTTTATTAAATGTGATAAAACAAATCAAAAAATGTGCGTATTCTTGCTCTAATAGTCATAGAACATCATTATAGCCTTGTTAAGTTTTCCTCTAATGGAGATGCACATATTGTATTATCAATTTAAAGTATAGTATAACCTTTTTATTTTGTCATTTAAACGTCAAAGCTTTTAGAAATGAACACTTCATATCATATGTATTTGCCAAACAAGAATCCATGCATTTTTTTGTATCAAAAAATAACACATGGTCATTATTCTACAGGGTCATTTTTCTAAAATCCACATGGAGAAAAAATGACGCAAAGGCCATAATTTCTACAAAGAAGTTGGTCATTTTGTAGAATATTGACCAATGGGTAAAAACGATCCCTGGTCAATATTCTAAGGGGGCCACTTTTCGTCGTTACACCCGGATCTATTCAATGCTCTACCAAGCCCCTATCTTTATTCCTTACAAAAATATTTTTAAAAATGCTGTAAAGGAGTTCTTCAAATTCAGAGGTACTGTTCTACAGCATATTACTAAATTGTATGACAGACGAGATGACTTCATCTTTTCCATCGTCAACTTTCCTTATTTATGTAGTAACATTCCGCTATCACTTGCATATGGTGTTCAATTATGTCTCCCGATGCAACTGTTCTGAGAACGATCAATTTTTTTAACCGAAGCGAGGCATGCTACTGACAGGTAAGTTGATGTTACAGGGATTTCAACAACCTCGTTTAAAATCAGTATTTTGTACAGTCTATGGTCGTTGTAATGATTTTGTTAGCAAATATAACCTATCATTGGGTCGTATTTTGGCTGACGTGTCTCATACCAATTGTTAGGCCTCTGTTTTATAGATTATAGATAAGGCTAGCCGCAGGTGTAACCAGTCAACAAGGAACGCTTACTCCTCCTGCACACCTGATCCCATCTCTGGAACTCCGGGGGTCCGTGTTTTATGTCCTGATCCCAGATTTGTATTGTTTATAGTTTTTTTTTTTTTTGAGATCGATCACTGTTCGATCGTTATCTTCACCTTTTTTTTCATTTCGACAGTTTGTACTCAGTCATGATATTCTTTATGACAAGTGCATCACCATAAGCGGAATATCCTTTGAAACACGATCATCATTAATGTTCACACGGAGAGTTTAATTCGAATTAAACGTAAGTTACTGCGAATTAAATTTAATCCGCGTTCACACGGAGAACTTAATGCGAATAAGTTTAATTCGAATTAGTTTACTCCGCATTAAATTGCTTCCCATTAGCTCCGTGTGAATGCTAAGCGAAGCTAATTCGAATTAAATTTTGACGCATGCGTAAGGGCAGAATTAAGTCACAGGACACATGTCGATGGTCAAATATAGGTACTTGTGCTATTTTGAGCGGAAAACAAAGGACAATTATGTTAATCACTAAAATGTGTACATGCAGACACTATGTCAAATATATCTGCTCTGCACAATACGACGTGATTTGTAAATGACGTCATGATAGCCTCACTGTATAGTCTTGTTGTAGAAATAATTTTTCATGAAGCGCTAGCGCGCTTCATGAAATATGCCTACGTGACAAGTCTGTGTGATTTACACACCAATAACTCACACTAAACTGAAAAACATTCCTTATATTTACATTTTACAAGTTCAAAAGCAACAATATTATGCTCAATATTTGAATTTCTTGCTGCCCTATATCGTTACATTTTTATTAACGTCTCTGTAGCCTCATTGTGACGTCACTTTACCGCGAGTTTCACCGTGTATATTTCTACGCGTGAGTATACACAAAAATGAACTTCAAATCAACTGCACAGTTGGCTTAGTAGAAAAACATAGCAAATGTAAATATTCCTTAATCAGTTACAACTTGGGCTTTCCAGATAATCTTAAACGTCTTTTTTTTTTGGGGGGGGGGGGGTAAATTATTTTTAAGAAGAGAAGTTGTGAGAGCTATTTCAAAAACAATCTAGTGTATCACTTAAGGAGGTTGGATCCTGCCATCAAAAGTAATGAGAGTTTTTTATAAAGTATATTTTTAGAATTTATACACATAGCTTTATCAAAAATCAAAACAAAAAATGGGGGTAAATGCGCTTCTTTTTGCGCTACAGAGCATTTAGTTTGACCTTTTTGCACTGAAAATACATCTTACACATAAATCAATTTTTAAAGTTTTTCCTCCAATATTTTTTATTCAAATAAATTATGGGAACAAAAGCAATCTTATCTAAGCTTAAATAGACACATTAAAATTTGTGACAACGAAGAAATTTTCAAATTACTCCGCATGTTCAATTATTTGACCTTTTTGCACTCAAACATTTTCATTTTTCTGGCATTAAAAATTTAACAAGCAAAAAAATCATTTGAAAGTAATGACATTTTACTGAATTTAAGAAGAATGGTTAAAAATATCGTATATATTCAGAAAAGAAAATTAAAAGTGGGGGTCTGTGATGTTAATTTTTAGATATTACTAAAAAAGTGCTAATTTTAAGCTAAAATTAGGGCTATTTTTTTCTTCATTTTCACAATATATTTGCTATATTTATCAAATATGATGATAGAATTCATGACAGTTTATTTAATAGATAATATAGGACCAGTATAAAACAGTCCACTGCACAAAATAACTATGTGTGCAGACTGCATGTAAAAATAGGAATCCAAACTTAACATACTTTAAACACTTCGAAAGAGAAAAAATGATCATTTTCTTCTAAAAAACCTTCCGCCACAAAATATAGTTCCTCACTTAATGCTTTTGGTATGGAATTTAATCATGGAGTTTTAACTGAGTATAGTTAAATTGGCATTGTAGAATCCAATTTTATTGTAAGAATTAAAACATTATGGAGAATTTTTTAAATATAGGTTAAGATAAAAATCTGCTCAAAAGCTCAGGAGCGAACCTCGTTAAAGTTACTGTAATTGTGGGTAGAAACAACATATTTTTAAACCAAGTACATCACACCGAATGCTAACTTAAAAATTTCGAAAAATAACGATCTTATCTGTTTAAGCAGAAGTTATAAAATACATGAAAGCAATAGTTATTGTCACAGTATATTTATTTTAGTGTATCCTGAGTTGGGCGAATGATGTTGACGAATGCGAAGCGAGAGTCTCTGCCTTCGTCCAAATACATGTAACTCAGAATATACCAAAATAAATAATGTATCATGGTCCACTTTAAAAGTGTAATTTACATTTGAACACGTTATTTTCTAATGATTATTTATTATTAAACAACCAAACTCACAATATTCCAGTCATGTGACTAAAATCATGCAAATTGTGCAAAATGACGTGGAATCAATGGAGTTTGAGACCCCAAACTTGATCGATGTAGACCTTCTACTGCCAACATCGGAGCAGGATGACTGAGCTATCGAGTGACTCGATAGCAAATGTGTGATGGAGTTTTGAACATAGAAGCAAGAAGACCTCTTGCTATCGCAAGTGTGGAAAGAAGTTAAAACATCGGAGCAAGAAGATCCTTTGCTGTCGCTTGCAAGTGTGATATGAAAGTGGAATACCGAACTTCGATTTTAAGGACAGACGATACGTTCCTCAAATATCTGTTTTGTATATTTTTGTAATAATTTATATAAAAAATATTTAAAATTATAATAAACTTGTGAAATCTAAACTAGTTTCTAATTGTCTTAAAAAAATCAAAACTCTAAAAATTTTGATATTCAATGGCAATTTAATTGTAGTTTCAAAAGGATTATATAAGAAAAACCATCCCCTGGTAACTTACACAAATGTCTGGTAAGGTACCTCAATTTTTGTGATTAAACATGTTGAAGTAGCAATACTTCCATGTTAAAATCTTTGAAAAAATTATATTTTATTAAAGAACGTATTGTCTGTCCTTAACTTTGATACTGAGCTCAATGTCCCAAAAAGACACAAGATGGCGACAGCAAAATGTTAACAAGAAGAAGATTACTTCGCTACATTGAGATTTATGATAAAAACTCACTTAATATCCGGGATTTAAGATTTGCTGACTTTCGGAAAATTTTAGACTGTAAAATGAAAGATGCGCTTAGTCTTGCTGTATTGGCGGGAAACCTAAGCAGGCCAACCCGATATTGCCCGAGGACGAAGCAAAAATAAGGGAGAATAGTGTTTTTGGACTACAGAGGAAGAGAGTGTATTCCTACCAAGCATACGTAGAAGAGATTTTACCTGATATTCTTGAAACGTGGTTGTCAATACTGAAAATCGCTATTTTTCAAGATCAATTAATTCTATATAAAGTTTCATACGGCCTTGACTTCAGTACTTTATAAGTTTGAATCAAAATTTGTATTCGAGGACTTGTAAGATATTCTTCCTCCCTATTGCGCTGAAAAAAGGGGAGGGGGTGTTAACCCGGGTAACTTAAAAGAAAGTAAGGTGATAGATATAACAAATGATCATTAGAAAAATCACAGCAGATTTTTATAAGGTTCTATGTGAATTTAAGGTCAAAGGTCAAGGTAACATGCTATCATCATTGCATCAGACATTTTCTAAATTTCCATGCTTTTGGCCTTAAATTTGCAGGGCCCTGCAAGGTTTCTGAATGGAGAGGGGATTGTGGGAGGGATACCCCTTCCTCAGAGTTACAATTGTTTTTAATTGGGTACCTTCTGATGGGTTATTGTGCATTTTCTGAAGTCATATTTTTACATATCATATAAACAAATATAGAAGCATTCAGATGAATAATGAATTTTATTTTGTATCCCCATCCCCTTCCATCAATCTGGATTTAGATAGTGATGATACATGTAACTGAAAGCCAGTGAAGTTGACCTTTGATCTAATGTTTATCAAAAAAAGCAATTTGAATGAAGATGGAATTACTATTAAGAGTGGCCATTGGATAAACTTTTAAAAAAAAGTATTTTTTCATCCATAATCTGGTATATTAATGATGTTAAAATCAATCAGACCACCCATCAAATATATAACCCAAATGCTATGTCTTAAACATTTATTCTAAAATTTTGAAAATTTAGTCATGTCCATTATCTTCTATATCATCGTCATTTTTAATTATTTTCGTTGGTAAAACACTACCGGCTTGCACCGGATCACACGTAAAGTTCAGTTTTGCCACATATTCCACAATCTGGTTCAGTGATAACCTCAGCGGCTTCCTTCTCCTGTGTGAAAAGAAAAAAAAGGAAATATTAGAATTTTTGAAATTCATATTAAATTTGTACTTTCAGATAATAGTTTATTTGGATAAAATTCAGCTTTTTAGAATATTATAGAATTCCTTTTTTTGTCAATATATCAATTTGATAATATATAAAATACAATCACACTCAAGATATCAAAATAATTCATGTCTGTGTAAAAGAATTATTTCAAATTTAGTTTTGACATCTGGTCTCTGACCAGTAGAGCTAAATATAAACGTGATGTCTCTTTCCCATCTCCCTCTCTATTCTGTATGGCATATGTACAATATTTACAAAGGTTTCAAAATAAAATTAACAATATGGCCACATCCATGTTAGTACAGATGAAGATTTTAAATCAATGCCCGAAAAATTAACAAACACGAATTGTTTGAACACAATGTATTAGTTAGCAGAAAACATGCTACCTTACAAGTCATTTTTAAATTGCAGGAATGTTCAAAATGCTTGTTTTGAAAATTTATTTTGTCGCAAATTTTTCCTGTCCTTAAGTGCAGTCATCCTTTTATCCTCAATAAAAGATAAGATTTTAAGTCCAAAATCATATTTTTGTATCATTATCATGCACAACAAGTCTACTCTGGTGAAAACAAAATGAAATCATTCTTTAACTTACGTTTTGTCAAATTCAAACGGAAGCCTGCGGATTTTAATGTCATCTTTAAATGCCTTGCTGAATGACAATTTGCAGCTCTCCGAATGTTTTTGATCTACAACGGCTCCTATGATTGGTATCCCATCTTCCCCTGGATAATAATACTTCCTGGCATCGCCCGATAAATACGTTAAATCTTCCCTCGGAAATAATTCTAGATAACTTTTCTCTGTCACTAGGGAAAATGGAAGATCTTCTAATCGAGCGTTTTTAGCCATATATTTCATTCTTAGAATTTTTAACACTTCGTTCTCCTCCAACGATGGTTTAACATTGCACAAAATAATATTCAGTGTCGGCGATACTTCAAAAGCAGATGCATTGATAGAAGCTACCAATAACTGAATCTTATTAGCCACTTCTAGAATTTCTGTGTAAACTAATGACTCCGTAAGCCCCAAGTCTATCAGAATGGGGTCCTCTAACATCATTGCCTGGGCAACGCGACTCCTAACGAGCATCTTTTCTGTGGTAGTGTAGAGTCTCTTATAAAAGCCTGTGTTGTCGGGTACAAACTCTTCCTTCTCTTTATATTCTCTTTCCCTAGTCGTCTCCCTTTGCCTCATTTGAAAAATCCTACAATTTGTGGTTTATAAAAAGATCTCTATGGAAACATTATTTGTTTCAAACATAACCATTAAATTAAACCATTTGTATGAATTTTTAAGCTAAAATCACTTATTTTAAACTCACTCAATATTTACTTTAAACACACTAAATATTTACTTTAAATGCACAAATATTTGCTTTAAATGTACTAAATATTTAATTTAAACATACTTAAATTTTTTCCTTCTAGATTTAACTGAGTCCAGATTCATTAGAATCAACCACTGTTGATCTGAAAGCTCTATCTGAAAATATAAGATTGCATAATTACAGTTAAACTCGGTTATCTTGAACTCAATAGGACCAAGAAAAGACTTTAAAATATCCAAAGATTTGAGATACATGTATCGAGGCTTAAATACTTTATGAATTTGTGGTTGGGACTTCCAAATCACTTTGACATATCCATGGTATTTGAGATATCAATACTTTACCAAATGTACTATGTTTTAACCCTTACCTTGACTTGAAGTTTGACGTATTAATTTCCAAAAATTTTAACATTGTTGATAACTTATAAATGAGAGAAGATAGGGCATTTATATTTGACATGTGCATTACCTGTTTCAAGACTTTTCTAAATGTACTAGGGCCTTTAGTTTTTGATCTCGTGACCTTGACCTTTAAGCTCAACCTACACTCTTTTTTAATTTTTTTTTTTACATTGGTTATAACCTTTGAAGAAAATATGGGGCTTTCATATTTTACATCTACAATATCTATGACAACACCTTTCAGAAAGGTACATTATTTGCAACTAATGACCATGACCTAGAAGTTTGACCTACCTATCAAAAATTTTAACTTTGGCTGAATTCAGTTACAATTAGATATAACTAAGTTACAATACGCATCCCATACACTAAAACACCAAAAGCAGGGGACCACAATTCTTTGAATTTTTTTGTTAAATTAAGAAGTTAGAGCTCTCTTAAAGTTACAGCAAATTTTACACATAAGAATCCCGTAAGAATATTTGTGAAAAGGAGTAAAATCGTAAGATTTCTCTAACAATGAAAATTAATTGTAAGATTTTTTGTGAACAGGGCTAATGTGTGCTTAATTGCCTGACATCTTTTTGAGCCAAAATTCTCCTTTATTTGGGATGAAGACTGATTGTGCACCATTCCCAGTAACTCACTTCCAATTTGCCCATTCTACGGAGGGTTTGGTACTCTGACTGAATTTTCTGCAGCTGCTCTTTCTCTTCAGGACTAGCAAATCTTTCAAAATCCTCCAAATTCTTGATCTGGTCAGTTGGATAAAAGACTGGCTTCCCATTCACTGACTGACTTGGTGAGGAAAACATCCGGTTCCATTGATCTTGTTTTCTGTAGCAGTTAGCTTCTGAGAGTTTCCTGAAATATCTTAGGAAAAAAATTACTCTGTAAGAGTGTTTGAAATAACCATGCACCCGATCACCCGAGGTGCACAAATTTTGCATCTATCGACGCAATTAATATATATGATAAATCTCTCTCAAATCAACTTAGTATTGGTAGCAAAGTGTAACAAGCCAAGAGGAAGAATTTTTCTGTCTATGGATTCGGGACCGAAGTTATGGTGACCTGGTCCAAGTTATATAATCAAAAAAAAATTTATAAAAGACAATTATTGTCTCAGAATAATTACATTTATTATATGATTGAATAATTCCCATTTCTCTGATTGGCTGAAATCTAACAATGTTAGAAAAATACTACATTATATTGACCTGCACGTGACATTCCAGGTCAATATAAGGAATTATTTATTCTACATAGGACCAAAAATAGATAGGGAAATTCCAAATTGATGCAAATAGTTTTGGAAAGTTATTTCATTTGCACCTGACTTCCACTCATATGAACATAACATTCTTGGGTGAGGGTTGGGTGGGGGTTGCAGGAGGTCTGTCCCTCTCCCTACCTTTTGAGAATGTAAAGTTTTAAATTAAACTTTAAAGATAGAAATTTTCAATGAAAGCCCCCTCCCCTCTTTTTTGGACCTTTACATCCCACCAAATAAAATCTGGAGTTGGGAGAATTCTTTCCCTTTTTTTTTTGGGGGGGGGGGGGGGGGGGAGGGGTGCTAGTCAAAGATTTGTTTTCAGGTAGGTTGTCATTTTTTCTCCTTTCAATGTAACCCTGTTTCTCTCATTATGTTCGGCTAGTACTTCAGTAACAAGTAAGATGGCATGGATTGCTTAATGAGTGTATGTTGTTTACTCAGTAAATCATATAATAAAACAATTATTGCTGTTTTTTTGGTCAATACGATGATTTAGCCACCTTTGAAGTACAATATTAACCTCGCCCTTCAGGCTCAGTGAATATTGTACTCATCAGGTGTCTAAATCATCTTACTGACCTCAAAAACCAACAATAATTGTATAGTAGTAGATCTTTGGCAGGGCTGCTAACTTTTACTAACAGTCAGCCCTGCATGTCTGGCTAATTTTACGGTGAGTTTTAAACACTGCTCCGTAATCTCTTAAACCAGACAAACAAATAATGTTCCAATTACAGTAAAACTCATTTAGTACGAACACTGATACAGCGAATTCAGGCATGTATAGCAAATTTTTCTTGGATCCCCAGCTATACAAATTTAACAAACTTCTTATACGGATATAACGAACTATGGATATAGCAAAGTAATTTCATAGGTCCCAGTGACTTCGTTATAACCGAGTTTTACTGTACACACATGTTATCAACAATTACATGTATTATTGACTTTGTATTCTGACTCATAATTCACCATATTTAACTGCAACTGAAGTTTATTTTCAATTGCTGACAACAAAAAAACAAAAAAAAAAAACCACTTCCATACTCTATGAACTTAAACATTGTTAAACATGTTAAAGATAGTTGCATGACTTAATTGTATACTTTAAAAAAAAATTGACCCCAAAATATAGGGTACAATAACATGTGCAAGTAACTTTTAGGTCAGTGTATTCTTATCCAAGGATAATTCTTTAAGTCAATAAAAATAAAAATATATAAATAAATAAAATTAAATAATATAAATAAAAAGTCTATTTAATTAATAAATACATACAGGTATAATTAATTTATATTTACCTCCCTAATAACTTTATGGAGGACATTCTTTGCTGGAAAATTAAGTATCACCTTTGAGTTTCCCCAATCAACCTAGAATACAAATATTATACATATACAAATAATAAATATCTAAAAAACATCTGAACAAATTATCCAACAAATTATCAATTAAAAATGTCAAAAACAATATCCAACAAATCATCAATTAAAAATGTCAAGAACTAAATATTGCTAACATACTGAAAATTCTGCTTTTATATCATTTTTTCTTTTAAGGAGGGATTCTTCTCATAAGAACACTTATTTCTTATATTTAGAAATCAATGAAATTTTCACAGAATCAAGAAGACAATATCACTAAGTGACGGTATCAGTTAGATTAAATTTGACCGTTTTTTATTAGAGGCAAGGTCAGGTCAAGGTCAGTACCTTTTCCCTGGACATTAAGTCTAGAATAAAAAATTACTGATGCCTATAATGCGATGCCTACTTTATTTCAATAAATTAAATGTTTTTCTTTTTGCATAAAGAGATATTACCATATAGGGTCTATAAGATGATATTACCAAATTGACATAATTTAACTAAAATGGATATTGGCTGATCCGAATTTTCTCTATTTTTCTTTAAATTTTAAGATATTTTAGTTATTTTTATATGCTTCCTATATTTAAATTTTTCTTATTTTCACATATGGTAAAGTTGTCACATAAAGATACAAAATGATACAAAAACAAAAAGTTTTGACTGTTTACTAAGAGAGAAAAAACACTTTTTACGGATTGTTGGCTCAAATCTGAACTTAGATTGGAGCTTTTAAAAGCTAACACAATTGTAGTTTGTTTGGAAAATCATATTTATTTGATATATTTTAAAACTTTAGTCTCTTATTATTAATTTAACTTACATTTAAACATTTTCTCCAAGTCTTTGATTGTGTAAAAATTATAACTAAATTCATTGTTCTATAATTATTTTGAGAGGCAGAATAGAAGTTATTTTCATACACTGCCATTCCGCCAAAAATATAGTCCCTGCTAGATTTCAAACTCAGTTTAACATTTCCCTTTAAAGTTGCACAATTGTGATGAGGAAAGAAAAATATGATCTTTTAAATCTGATGCATCTGAATATACAAAACATATAAGCCAATATACTTTGAATATTTCATCTAGTCAGAAACCAGACAAGAATCCCTCCTTAAAATACTTACATCAATGTCATTATCTACTTATTCAGCCTGCACTGTAGCAAGGTCTGTACATGTCTCATTGTCTGCACAAAGAATCTTTGCCAAAGATACGCATGTCCAACTCTGTATAGGAAGAGGAGATATAAAACTACTTTGGCATATCAAAAATCTCCGTATGAAATGAGTCTTTCCACCAAGACAAAGTCAGAAGAACGATGAAAATCTCACAGTCATCTGAACACGTGTGCTATATATCGAGACAATTCGGGATAATGTACTTTTGTTCTCTACTCACTAAATAGTGATTCTAACTTCATAAACGGTTTCTTAAACAAGCAGAATCGATTATATAACATTTATAAAGTCCCAATTACATGACGACACCTCATTAGTTGGAATACAATCATCCACCTTGGGATACTGGAATGACTCGGGCTCAAGAATCAAGTAAAATTTTCTACTTTCATTTTATCATGAGTTACTTGCTTGAGTCATTGGAGACCAAAGAAGACGTAGACAGAGCTATTTCAAAGACCACGGACGTTGTTTTATTACTGAGATTTGGTAGAGACCAAGATTCAACATGCTTACAACTAGATCATTTGGTAAGATTGCATTATACTAAGTTTTTATTGCCACCACCAACCCGTTGTTTAAAGTTAATCAACAGATGATCAGAGTTCGGTTGATTTGCATTTTGAATAAAACTACTTTCAATGATCAGACCAGGCATTCTCATCTGTAGGGTCCTCAAAGCGATTTTTTTCGTTCATTTGACTAATCTTGTCTGGGGCGCATTACTTATAATTTAATACCCTATTAATGTATGGCAGCTTTGTTGTTAGTTAGAATAATCTAACTGTGTCTCAGGACAAGCCCTCATCACAGCCTTAAACCGGGTCCGTAGGGCAATATCAATTTAACGATAGAACGTTCTATCTACTTTGTTGTAGGCCTAGTTGTAGAAAAACGTGATTACAATATTGCTGCGACTTAGATACAGTACCCTCTGTACTGTGCTTGGTAGATATCCATAATGAAATTCACTAATCGATCTATACTTTAGGATGTACAGCGTATTAAACTTGAAACAATTTCTAGTCTCCCCCTTTTTCAAACACACACAGTGAATCTTAGGGTTTCAGCAGTGATTCATCAAACAAATTCAACATTGAAAGACTTACTTCTAAACATAGTTGCCAACTCACCCGATTTCGTCGGGTTACACCCGATTTTTCGACCCTTAACCCGGTTATTTTTTATGACACGGCGGGTCATGCTTTTCACCCGATTTTTTGCCGAACACCGATTTCCGGATTTGGTTCGTAAATTAGATTGCACTTTTAACTTCTAGTTACAACCCAAGCTTGGATATACGTAAACAATCACAATGTCGATGGCAATTATCAGTGCAGGTATAAACAATTACCTGGGAGTTGTTTTGACAAGACAAAGATTGAAGTCAATTTAAAATGGCTTCCGATAGAACTAGACCGTTATAAGGGCCAGCAGGAACACATTGAACCAAGAAAAAAAGAGAAACGATATTTAATATGTACATATCAAGAAATCTTGGAAAACAACTCTCATCAGATAAAATAAAGTGATCGAAGATAGTATAGGCCTAACTGTACATTTAATACATATTGTACTTGTTAATTAAATTAATTTGTGGGGGGGGGGGGGGGGGGGTAACATCAAAACCAATATTGGAATACTTTCAAATTTAGCACGAACATGTGCTTCAAATCAGCAATGCAGATTCTGAAAAGGCTTTCTTTTAAAAAAAAAATGCACACTTAATTTAGGTCAATACTGAATAATGAAACCTTCCTTGCTCTTTTTTAACATGTAAATTTAATCAATATATATAAATTTTTTGTCATTGTAAGTTAAAGCCTATTTTTAATAAAAGAATTCTCAATTTATACAAATACCTATATATATATAATTATATAATTTAATCATGATAAATATGCCGTTACGTGTTATGACCAGATTTTTTACTTTCCAAATCTGGTCATGACCAGATTTTTACATGTTGGAGGTTGGCAAGTATGCTTCTAAAATGAACTGCATATGATATTTTGTAATGTTGTATGCCACTATTAATTTTTGAGTATGGGATTGCCCATAAACTTAAGGTTGAACTTTCTGAAAGCTTTTGTTCATTTTATACAGTCATAAAAACTCTTATAGAAACATATTCCACTTTTTGTCATAATGTCACCACTGCTTTTCTTACTTCAGCTTGCCAAATGTTCTCAAGAATTGGCGAATATGGCTAAAATCTACATTGTTGATGTTGATAAAGTTCCAGTTTACACCAAATACTTCGATATTACCCTGATACCATCTACCATATTCTTCTTCAATGCTCAGCACATAAAGGTTGACTGGGGGTAAGTATCAAAATAAACTTTACTCATATTCTTCTTCAATGCTCAGCACACAAAGGTTGACTGGGGGTAAGTATCAAAGTAAAGTTTACTCATATTCTTCTTCAATGCTCAACACATAAAGGTTGACTGGGGGTAAGTATCAAAATAAACTTTACTCATATTCTTCTTCAATGCTCAACACATAAAGGTTGACTGGGGGTAAGTATCAAAATAAACTTTACTCATATTCTTCTTCAATGCTCAGCACATAAAGGTTGACTGGGGGTAAGTATCACAATAAATTTTACTCATATTCTTCTTCAATGCTCAGCACATAAAGGTTGACTGGGGGTAAGTATCAAAATAGAGTTTATTCATATTCTTCTTCAATGCTCAGCACATAAAGGTTGACGGGGGGGGGGGGGGGGGGGGGGGGGGTAAGTATCAAAATAAAGTTTATTCATATTCTTGTTAATTTTCTAAAATTCCAGGATTATTTTATTTCACATGATATGGAAAGAATTGTATCTAAGCTTAACAATTATTACCAATGTAAGCATTATAATAAACGCAAAGTAGACATTTCTAAGCATGTAAAGATAAGGTGGCCCGCTCTGAGGTTGGATAGGACACATTGTCCTATGTATTTTACATTCATTTCTTGTTTGATGTTTATTGTAGTACCCCAGACCACACCAAATTCATAGGCAGTTTCAGAAACAAGCAGGACTTAATAGATGTGGTAGAAGTTATATACAGAGGAGCAATGAAGGGCAAGGTTATTGTTACAAGCCCTCTGGACCCGGCCAACGTCCCAAAATATGAGCTTATTTACAAGGACATTTGATGGTCTTTAATCTGCTTAGTTATGTACATTTGCCAAGATGTGCACTACATGGGTATTGCCTAATATGGATCAAGATGATCAAATTCATGCATTTCCTTCAATGCAATTTATGTAGATCTATACACTGATTGGATTGCTTTTTTCAGTCAATGGTCAGGAGTGTGACTGTGTTGGGGGGCTGACCATTAATTGGCTCATACTTAAATCTGAAATCTGAAAAATTAATTTGCAATGAAATCCTTGAATTGTTTGTGCCAAGATTTAACTTGGTGATTCTTTTGCATGCTCTTCATTCATTCAGGACTATTATGACTTCCAGTTCACAGTTGTTGTTTTTTTTTTTCAACATCCATATGAAATTTATACTTAAAAATTTGACACCATTCTGGATGCAAGACAGATTAAGACGGAATCATTTTTTGTAATGCTTACTTTACTTAGTCCTCTTTGTGCTTTGAGCACATAAGGCCTGCATATGTAGGTCACCTGAGTCACTCAGGTGACCTATTGCTATCTGTTTTCGTCCGTCGGCGTGTGTCGTCAGTCGTCCGTCGTGTGTTAACATTTGAACATTTTCAGCTTCTTCTCTCAAACCACTCAACCAATTTCAACCAATTTTTGCATATGGCATCTATGGGTGAAGAGAAACAAAATTTATGAATTTCATGGTCCCTGCCCCCCTGGGGGCCTGAGGGGTGGGGCCAAAACCACTAAAATTAGTGCAATCTTTAAAAATCTTCTTCTTTACTCCTGGACATCAAGCAGTCAAACTGTTGGCATGATTGTAATAAGCAATGAGCCCTCTACCAAAATTGTGAAATTCATGGCCCCAGGGTCAGGGGTTCTGGTGCTAGGGCGGGGCTCTGTTGAATATATTGTGAAAATATATTATTTCTTTAAAAATCTTCTCCTCTGCTTCTGGGTATTAAGCTGATAAACTATTTAGATAGTAATGATTAGGAATGATGCCTCTTCCAAAATTGTGAATTTCACGGCCCCTGGATCAGGGGTTCTGGTGTTAGGGCGGGGCTTTAATGATTAAATATAGTGAAAATGTATTAATTTTTGAAAATCTCCTCCTCTGCTCCTGGGTATAATGCCAATGATCTAATTACATAGTTATGATGAGCAATGGTGCTTCTTCATGAATTTAGAATTTCAAGGCCCCTGGGTCAGGGATTCTGGTGTTAGGGTGGGGCTTTAATGATTATATATAGTGAAAATGCATTAATTCTTGAAAATCCCCTCTGCTCCTGGGTATAATGCCAATGATCTAATTACATAGTTATAATGAGCAATGGTGCTTCTTCAAGAATTTAGAATTTCAAGGTCCCTGGGTCAGGGATTCTGGTGTTAGGCAGGGCTCTAATGATTATATAGTGAAAATGCATTAATTCTTTGAAAATCTTCTCCTCTGCTCCTGGGAATTATGCTGATGATCTAAGTACATAGTTATAATGAGGAATGGTGCCTCTTCCAAAATGATGAATTTTATGGCCCCTTGGTCAGGGGTACCATAGGGGGGGGGGGGGGAGCTCTAATGATCATATACTGAAAATGAATTAATGCTTTGAAAACTGCTGTTTGGTATTAATCAACCATTTATGATGAGCAAAGATGCCTTTTCGAAAATTGTGAAGTATGTGGCCCCAGGGTCAGTGGTTCCTGTGGGATGTGGCACTACTGGTTATATAGTGGAAATGCATTTTTCTTTGTTCCTCTGATCTGCCTCTGGGTATTAAGTAATCAAAATAAGCATTCTAAGTGTATAGTTATGATTATCAGTTGTGCCTCTTTCAGAATTGTGAATTTCATGGCCTCTGGTTAAAACATGAACCAAATTCAATTGTTGGAAAGTTGTTGCATGATACTCAGGTGACCTATAAGGCCCGTGGGCCTCTTGTTCGTAACGATGTTATCAAATTCTAGTAATAAAGGCGCTTTGTCTGATCTTAATTATTTCAGTGAAAATAAAACATAATTAAAATTATGTTCGTTTGTTTGTTTTTTTTTTTATTTTGGAAAAGTGTTTACACAAAAAATCTATACGTGTTTTATTAAACCTGTTATTGGGATTAAATACTTGTAACTGTTAGTACAATAAAAATATATCTGATTCTGAAACAATTAGTTATTTCTTAGAAGGATCCAGACATTTAGTGTCACATTGGAATTTGACATTCAGTTAGTTTGGGCGGTTTCTTCCCAGTTTTTATACAAAATAAGATGCAAGAAATTCATGAAGGTTTTTATGGATTTTTTCTCACTTCTACGAGGACAAATCTTCATGCATTTTTCTACCAACTTTACAAAATTTTGGGGTTTGTTGTACTGTTGATGGCCTGACAGGCTGGAGGATGGACAGACTTTGTACTGGTTTAAGGATTATAACTCTTGAGTGCTTTACTCAGTTGAGTACATAATTTACAAGTAGTACCACACCATGTGAGAAAGATTATTACTGTTTTGCAAGGTCAGAGGTCAAGGGCACCACAATATGGACATAAAACATTTGTTTTTGAATAATATCTGGATTTTTTAATTTATCTATTTGATTTTCAGTTATGATGCTTACATGTATGTTATGAGGAAGGTCCCTATTGGTTTTCAAGATCATACCCCAAAGGTCAAGGTCACTAGTGCAAAATTGAAAATAGTTGGTAAAAAATATAAAACAGCATAGAAATGATTAATAAGAAATTTTTACATAATATATAAATACTGCCTGTAGTTGAGGGTAACACTGAACATTTTAACCCCCCAAAAAACCATTGTCAATCGAGATGCACCCCAAGAAAACCATTGTCCACCGAAAATTTTCAATGTAAGTTGTTACCCTCTACTGTGCCTCGGTTGACAATGGTTTTCTTGGGTGAAAATTTTCAATGTTACCTCAGATACATGCAGTATTTATTATAAAACATAATGTTTTATATAAAGGTGAAGCTCGCGCGCATAGAAAAAAAATCCATATTACTTCGCATGATCAATTATGCGACCTTTTTGCACTCAAAGAATGTGTACAGTATTTAATTGTCAAAATTATGCTACATCTAGATTCTAAAAAGCTAAACACATGATTTCAGTTTTTTGTCAGAAAAATATCCTTAAAGTCTAAAACGTGAATCGTCACCTTTTTGCACTTAAAGATAGTTCGCGCTATTTAATAGATATTGATATTTTTTTATATCAAGTCTTGTCCGAAAAGAGTTTTAAAAAAATACGTTTTCTCTATATAAATCAATAGAATAACGTTAAAAAGGTTGCGAAAACAATGGTATGTTTGGGAGTTACTTACATGAAAACGATGCAGGCAAATTTTATAAAATTTTCAGATACTATAAAATAAAATCAGGGGATCCATGTAACAAATTTTCATGGAATGTCTTCGGGCAATTTAAAAAGGTCAGTAACCCTGTGACCTAAGTTAATGAAGTTGTAATGCCATTTCAAAAATACAAAAATTTTGCATGAATATTACTGCTAGGTTTTCTATTTTGTATATCTAACACAAAAACATTGGGCCATACCTTATTTTTTCAAGTTATTAAGGTTGTAAATAAAATTTTTATGAAAATTTAAAAGTTATTTTTCAAGAGCTTTCGTGAATGTAAGCCTAATATATTTTATATATATTAATAAAACATTGAATGGCTTAATTTCAAATTACATATGTTAGATATAAGTCTCTACTGTTTGTCTGATGTCTGAGAAAAAAGTTGTGCATAACGAATTACTTGATTAGGAAATGTTAAATGGTACAATACGATTAAAATAAGCAAATTTCTATGCATTTCTTGTTAGAAATCCTTTCGCAAGAAAAAAAATAGTTCCCACGAAAACTCCTTTAAAATGCATCTTGACTTGCTGTCTTTTAATAACATTTTGTTAGGTTGTTATACAAGCATATACAATATTTCATGAATATAAAGATGCTTATTAAACACACATTTTGAAAGATATTAATCCTGTCACTTTAATTGGAATCCAAATGCTTAGGAGAATAGCTTTTAGTTAACTTGATTAAGAAGATGGGTGAACAAGGCGGGCGAAGTGCCTATAGTGCGACAAACATGAAGTGAAAAATAAAATCTCAATTACATGTATATCAAAATTTTCTTTGATATTTCATCTTACGTTAAAGTATACTTTATATAAAATCTCTACAATTTACAAAAATCTTACAAAGACTGAAATTATTTGCCTACGAAATAGCATACACACACTAAAGAGGACAACAAGGTTCATTTCTCATACTTTAACAAAATTTTTCGATATGAGTGGGTCTTCTCTCCATTTTTTTGAAAGTTAATCCTAAAAGTTTGCATAAAAATATACATTTACTATATACATTTTTTGGTTTACAAAAACATGGAACAAAGACCCACTATACCTTAAAAGTACACTTTTGTGACAAAGCATTCGCATCTTTCCGAGAAATACTTGAAGTCCATTTATTGTCAAGGGTCATATCAAAAACATGATTTAAAAGCCACTAATCACACGGAGCTGTGTAGCGTAGTGGTTAGCGTTTTTTTAATAAAAGAATACGAGATCTTTTTTTCTCAGAAAAGTTTTGTTGATCATAATTTCATAAATTTCAATAATGAGAACTTGACTTTAAATACTTAATTCACAAATTGAATATGATTATTTTAATATCTGAAGATATAGGCATTCTGCACGCCTTTTTCACCCATCTTCTTTATAGATTAACTTCAAGTCTCAGTTCAACCGAAACATGATTGGTCGATGTATTCCTAATGTATCCTTACAAATTTTGTCATCGCTGGACTCATGATAATTTGGAAATGAAACTGCACGAGATGCAATATCTCAAAGCTGTTGCCATCAATTGTCTCGAATCATTCAGGGGAATTAATTTCAGCGATTAGCTTTTGTGAGAAATCTCTTATACACGAAGGTTGTTAGAGAAGTTCGCGTACACATTGATTTGCGGCAAATTTATTGTGTAATTTGAAGAATGACTTTGTCTGATTAAATTCTTATTTTTTGTTTATTAGTATGTAAAAAATCAGGTCCATTCGCAGCTAGGTTAAGGACTCCCATATATACGTCAGCCTATGCAGAGGTTCGGGAAAGCTATCATGACGTCACGTTAAAACAATACAAATGAATCTCGATGAATAAATACTATATGTTCTTTTTAAACCACTCTAAATACTTTCGTTTCTAATAAATATTATAAAGATAAATGGATGTGCAACTTATCTTGCCATAATAGCACTTAGCATATGTAGAATGAAAGCCAGCTTGATCTCGCTGTACTTACTGAGATGACGTCAATTCTTAGTTTGACACGCAGTTTCTCTGTACTTGAGGCGTGGATCAAGTTTTTATCATAGTATGTAAAAATAAAAATAAATACGAAACACGCGTAATCCGACCAAAAGAAAGACATATTCTGAACTATATCAATCCACATTTTATTGTCAAACTTAATTGATAATGTGTAGACTTTATATAAAGCCGTAGGGAGCATATTTGTACAGTAACGTGCTAGAATGAGAGGTTCAGTCCCTCGAAAATATCAAAAGTTCAACGATATCCGCTTCACTATGAATAATGAATTTTTAAACACGAGTAGGTATTATTCCTACTATTCTGAAAAGTGCTGGGAGCTGGTTGTGTATTGTTTATTTATTCCGTAATGTAACATTATTTCAATGCGTCTTACATTTTTGACTGGAGTTTATGGAAAGACGGCTTAATTTTAGGCAATTCCCGAGCATGAGGAAGTTGCTCCCAGCACTTTTCGTGTTAAGGAATTTGTCTCAAAGAAAACAGAATAAATTTTATAGCGGAAAGATGCCCGTATACCGTTGAACTTTTACGATCTATGTAACAGTACATATATGGTCTAATTTTAATCCTGTCACGTGACAAACAGCTAATGTAAGCGATGTCGCTTTGGCCGAACTTAGCAGAGACCCGATAAATATAAGTGCAAACACCACAATTCATATTTATGAAATCTAATGCTATTTAAAAAATATTAAAAATTGTATTCATTTTCCCTGAATATATTAAGGCGTATATTTCATTGGCGTCCTTAACCTAGCTGCGTTTACTAAAATTTTAAAATATACAATGATTTTCACTGTGTGGTCATACACACGGAGCAATCACTTGACGTGTTGACGCGTTAACCTAACTCCAAACTTGTCAATCTTTATCAAAGTTGAAAATATCTTTCATTTCTGTAGATTTTTCATGTCTTTTTCCTACTCAAAAATTTAATAACTATATGAAGACATGTCACTTTTTTTTTAAATGTCTTTTGTGGCGTATCGGATATTAGAGAGATCCTAAAATTAATGTCGACGCAGTTAAGCGATCAGGTACATGTATGGAAACAATGCAAAATCCATAGGAGCAACGTCCGTGCGATTTTGGGGTTTTGGGGTATCACAGGAGTTGATAATCAAATTGTCAATTCTTTCAATCTTAAAAAGCTACTACCTTTTGAACATTTTGGTCCTAGATACGTGTAGGTAATACGAAACAACATTTAAAAACATTTTAGACTCTTTTGGGCATTTTCCTGTCTGCACACATAATTTTTCAATAGCTCGATCTCGTTCTGAAGAATTTGTATGTGGAAATGCAGAGAATTAATTTGTATTACATGAAATTGACTCCTGCCTATGGAAATTGTAAATTTAATAGAAACAAAAGCTATACAGATAGACATCAGCATTAACAATTATTTGTAATGTCCTTTATGTAACAGCAAGAAATTATAACAAACAAGCATGGGTTATTCACGTAAATAACAAAAATCCGAATAATTAACAGATTTATAAGGAACTTATCAGATTATAGGTACATGAAGCTAGACATTAAATGTTTAAAACTTGTTGAATAACTATCCATAGTGTCACCGCTTAATCACAATTGCTGAGGGATGCCTTCCAGTTACAATTAGTAACAGATACGTCCCATCCCATGTTGTCTGGACACTGTAGTTCTGTGGGGGTAGACCAGGAACATTGATAATACTTCGTGCAGTCCTTTGGGTGTGGAAAGTAACCGAAGTTGCTCGGACAAGTGAAAGTATCTAGAAAATACATGAAGATATATTTATTATATTTATTACTCTCATCTAATGAAATGAGAGTAAGGGAGTTGGATACTTGGCTAGCAAAGACAGAAGAAAAATTCAATTCACTTTGATAAATTAATTTTTTTTACCAGTGTCATTGGAGGGTTCATCTTCCTCTTCCTCTATATCTGATGCGCATGCAACTTCAGCCTCGTTTACGCATGCAGGAGCAGGTTTCTTGTCGTTGTCCCAACGTGTTCCGAATGGACATGATTGGACAATTCCTACACGGTTCGTACACTGGATGAATTTAGTGCAGTCCGTGGAGTGAGGGAAGTACTCCCCTTCATTGCAACCTGTGGACGGTATATTACTCTTTAGTGAAAATGTCGTAATCATATCAAGTACGTACATCGAATTATGTAGCAGTTTGTACCATTGCAACTAGTATTGAATTTAATCACATGACAGATATGAAAACGTTAACTTTATTTTTCTCGATACAGTTGTAAGTTAGGTATTCCAAAATCTTACTGTGCAAACAACGTGTTCTTCTAAATTTTGTAATACAGTGTAATCAAAATATTCCGGAGCCTTACTGTACAACAAAGCTATACACGTACTTTATTCTTATGAATAGGAATGATCAAAACAGAAAGATCACAGCAAAGGTCTGCAAAACTTTGTTAGTTCTCTTTCGTTTCTTAGAAATATAATCTTACTTCCTACACTGCTGGCGAAGTTGCAAGTCTGACTGTGGTCACTCCATTGCAGACGCGGATCAGAACAGTTGACAATGTAAAGACGACTGTCAACGCAATGAAGGTAGCGATTGGGATCGGTAGGGTGAGCCCTGTATCCTGTCACTGCCTCGTTACAAATTGTCTCTGTATACAAATAAATAAATAAATAAATAAATAAATAAATAAATAAATAAATAAATAATAAAAAGAAAGAAAGAAATGAAGTCAAATCAAAATTCAAATTTCAATAGCATGAATTTGAATTTTCACTGAATAAGACAAAATTTGATTTGTATACTAGCTAAGATATATCTTCTAGAAATATATTTTGGTATTCCACATAGGGAATATATATACTGGTCAGAACAGAAGCCTGGAAGATATCGGCTAAAATGTTTCACAGGATGATCTGACACCTTTAGCATAACCAACCACTTACGAGGACATTTGAATGTGTTGCATTCACGTGTGTCGGTTTCGGTTTCACTTCCGTCGCAAGGTTTCCCGCCATATTGTGGTTCTGGTTGAGTACAGGTGCGCCTTCTGTCACGTGACTGAGACCCCCCATCACACGTCACAGTGCAAACTCCCCACTCATCCCACGCCCCAAACTCCGACCATCCACCATCGACTTTAAGAAACAGAAAAGGGATCTATGTTAGTTCAAAGTCATTTTTCAACCAGGTTGTCCTGGAAGAATAAAATTAATACATTTCAATTGTTTAGACAACTACTTGCAAATATACATGTAGAAGCTAAATCTAAAATAAAGGATAAAGAATAAAATAAAGATAGAACGATTTTGCGGCTTTCTTGGATGACATTCAGAATGTAGTATACACTTTTTTACTGGCTGTGAGTGGGATAGCTCTTTTATCATCCCCGCGACAGGAACTATTTCCTGAGGGCATACCCTCCTACGGCCTTTAAGTATGTCAGACTTGATGCTGGGTTTGAACTAGGCATCATCTTAGGTTTTATATACAAACACAGGTTTATGCCATGACTTGATTATTATATTAATTAAAGGGTCAATTTTGTCCTTGCCTTGCCTTGTTCTTTCCCGCTACATTTTCTTAAAGAATTTGTTAATGTATGCAAATCAAGTATACGTCCTACTTGGACAGTGATGTGTATTGCATTCCTGTTCCTCGGTGTTGATGCTTTCTCCTTCGCAAGTTTTGCCGCCATATTGCGGAGCTGGATTGGTGCACGTGCGTGTCTGTGACCTCTCTTGCATACCGCCACCGCAGGACACAGTGCATGTACCCCATTCACTGAAGTCTCCATAAGCAGACCACCCACCATCAACTTAATGAAACAAAATGCCAATGTTTTTATTCATTTCAATGTTTTTTTATTATTATTATTATTTTATTATTTTTTTTAAGGTTTGCAAGGCTCTTCATTTGTCCGCTAGAGTTTCATGTTCAGTAATCACCAATAAATTACTTGGAACGAATTACGATTTAATTTTCACCACGTATTTTGAAATATATACATGTAATTTAACAAATTGCAGATGTAAAAGTTACTTTGTCATGAAGTCATTAGAATATTTGCAAAAGCCTTTTAAAAATACTGTCGTGATTTTCTGAATTTCATCGAGGAATTTTAATTTAGAATACGATTAGTTTCACTTCAAAATACAAAAAAACCCAATCAATAAAATTTTCTGAACAATACTATATACACTGAATTCTCCTTCTCTTTGAGTATTATAAGAAAGTTTGAAAATGATGTTGCATACTTGGGCAGGGATGAGTGTTGCAGTCCCGTTGTTCGATGTTGATGTTATTTGTACCGCACCTTTTCCCGCCATACTGAGGAGCTGGGTTTGTGCACGTGCGTGTTTGCGATCTTTTTTGTTGTCCACCACCACAAGAAACTGAACACTCATTCCAGTCAGTGAATGCCCCATAAGCAGACCAACCACCGTCAACTGTAGAACGAAAGAAGAGAAAGGACCTTTTTAATTTTTAACAAAAAGAGGTTTTCTCTGAGAAAATGAATAAAATTTTGGATAGCTTGAATTTTCTTATACATACTTGGGCAATTGTGAGTATTGCAATCTTTTGTCTCTGTATTAATGTTGCTTCCCGAACACGAGTTTCCACCATATTGTGGTGATGGGTTAGTGCACGTGCGTGTTTGTGATCTCTGCGTTTTGCCACCGCCGCAGGATACAGTGCATTCGCTCCATTTACTGAAAGTGCCATATGTTGACCACCCTCCGTGAACTGGATTAGAATATTGAAGTCTCATTCATGAAATGCAGTAAAAGGATGACTTTTCTTGGTAAAGAGTGTATTTTAGAATTTTTTTTAAAAAAGTAAAAGGAATATTCCTAGAAAGAAAAACAAAAATCGAGGAAAGAAATGAGAAAATTGATACGAAAGCTGCTCATTTCTGTAGGAAAGTATTACTTGGGCAGTGTTGGGTGTTGCAGCTCTGAGTCTCGGTCTTAGTGCTACTTCCGGAGCAAGATTTGCCCCCATTGGCAGGTGCTGGGTTGCTGCAGGTGCGGGTCTGGGACCTCGATCGTGTGCCACCTCCACAAGAGGCGGAGCATGGCGTCCAAGCCGTGTATGCACCGTAGCTAGACCATCCACCATTTACTAAAACCCAGAAGATGATTGAAATAAATACTTAATAATATTCAAAAAAAAAAAAAAAAAAAAAAAAAAAAAAAAAAAAAACAGGGACAAGAGTTGTCTCACCCTAAAAACATCGATTTCAGGAATTTCGAATGCAAGCAAATTGAATAGAAAATATTTTGTACTATTTTCATTTTGATTGAAAGATTTTGAATAAATAGTTTTGAAGTAAACTAATTTAAAGGAAAGAAGTTGCAATGTATAACTACTGTTGTATACTGGTTGATCTAATTTTCGCTATTTTTATGACAAAACGTGAATTGCAAAAATCAAAACGGAAGAAAATTATAAATTATCAACGTAGTAAATGGTTTGTATATTTATATAAAAAAGTTTCTTGAATAGAAAAGCCTTTTTTCATATTTGGAGCACGCATAAATTTGGTTTTGCAAATTCGAGATTGTGCCATATAAAATTAATTTTGCCAAAATTATACTAGTGCGTGATTGGAAAAATAAAACAGCTTTACAGTTTGCAATCGTAATTGTCAGCGATAATTTGTTGCAATTAATTATAATCGTACAGAGAACTCGTATAAATATATATATATAATGATATATCATACATATTTAAAAAGTATATCGTATTGGTGATCATGCAAGCGTACTTAACCATAAGCGCCAAAATATGAACGACTAAACGAAGCAAACAGTCATATTCTTCTTAAGAAAAAATATAAAATTTCCCACCTGGACATCCTTGTGTGTTGCATGACCTTCGGTCTGTACTAACACTGGACCCTGAGCAATAGGAGCCACCATTACGAGGGAGGGGGTTGTTACAGGAGCGAATTCTGGACCGTAACTGAGTCCCGGACCCACAAGTTTTACTGCAGGTGGACCATGACCCGTAGCTTCCCCAGTTAGACCATCCACCATTAACTATTATCCAATAAATATGAGAACAATGGCCGATATTTACTTTTATTATACATTTCGAGTTAAAATTTACTTATAAAGTGTTTGATATATTCATATATACATGCACCTGCACGAGATAATATATTAAGGCTAAAATATATCAAACATGGTAGGTACATGTAACACAAACTTCGTATTTAATTAAGCAGGTTGGTCATACAATTTGTATCTACATGTATTTTGATTTGAAATATTGGAGGGAGACCGTACCACTGCCAGAAAAAAGTTTATCCTTCGGTATGAAAATTGAGCATTATTTTACCGGACAAAGATCAATATTATACAATTATATTATACATTCCATCCAGTAAATCTGGAATGAAAAATATAATAATCATATTTAAGGAATAACTACCTAGTTATGCATGAAATTATCTCGCAAGCAAACTGATTGATCATCTTCATAAAACCAAAAAATCAGACAGTTTTCCCTTTTTATTTACATTTTCACCTGATCATTGATTCAATCGAAAAAAATTCAATGATGAGAAATCTCTGCAGGTCCCGCCCAGTGTATTACTAGACAACACGGCGAAAAAGCATGGAATTCTGCGGAGCAAATTGCTTTATGAAGATATAAAGCTATATCCTTATTTGTAGTTTTATCTCTGACATAAAACAATTGTAAATATGTAAATATTCAAATATAAACGTACCTCGACATGTTGCAGTGCAAGTTTTGTAGCTGGTTCTGTGAAGGAAAAATAAATATATAGGCTCTTAGCACAAACGTTGGTAAAAGGTTTAACAATCATAATGGCTGCCATATTCATGCATGGCAAAAAATCTGATAAATTACTTTAAATTTGAACTCTTTGATATAAACGGCAAGTTAATGTTAATTGTAATCTACATTGAAAACTCGTGCAATTGTTCTCACCTGTATCGGTTACATCTGGACCAATTCAAAAACCCACAGGATATGGTGTAACTCTCCCTCTGGGAACACTGCTTGGTCTCGATTCCAGTTTTTGGATCACAGGCTCTGTTAATTCATAACATGTGTTCATGTCCTTTCTTTGATATAGAAATTGCTGTTATTTCAGTGACGTATCTTTGCTCTTATTTTAACTTATTCAAATCTAAGAACTTGAATATTTAGCGCACTGCTGATGTTGTAATTTAACAAATTTGCACAACATAGGCTGCACATAGCCTGCTTAATTATGCATCTCGTAAAAATAGGAATAGAGAATTATTTTATGAGGGAAAAAAATTTGTTCTTGCACGTTATTTTCCCTTTCAAAATTTCAATTTGATATTATTTATTCACACATTTTATGGATATACCAGTACATTATGTCGCTTCTGGGTCAATTGCGTTTAACTGTAATATATTTACATCCACTGGATATTGTCTCCTTTATTTCTTCAGAAAACCACGGTTGTTTATCAATACTTTAACGGAGCTTGGCAAGCCACCTGTACATAAATTTCTTGAGCGGTGGCTCTTCCATTAACTTACAGCCATTGCGGAAAAAATAGAATAACCCGCTTAGGCGTTTTGCATTTTTCTGCAACAGCTGCAACATTAATTCCCGTACTAACAACCAAAGAAAGCATTTTACTGTTTTACTTTCCACGATTCATTTGTAAATTTTCATTTCGCGCAGTGTCGAATGTTAGGAAAAAAATTAATTATACTGAAACATGTATTTTGATTATGAAATTTATTTGGTTTGTCAGAAATTTCACATACGCTAGCACTGTGTCTTTGAACTGGCTCTTTCTTCACAAAATCAAACTAATAGTATTCTTAATTCAGTGTATGTAATTATAACAAAAAGAGTATAGCAAAAAATTAAAATTTCAGCTCAAAATATTAATTAATCTTTTGAGTTTAAATTATAAATTATAAATTCATACCCAAACTTTCAAAATTGCGTATTTTTTTTTTTCAATGTAACAAATGTATTACAGTGTGTAAAATTAATCATACATTAAAAGTATCGAATTTTTTTTACTTCAATGGTTCAAAGTTAAGAAATAAATATATAGAATTACTATAACTAATTGGTACCTTAAATTATAGAGAAAAGAGTAATTTCCTTTATCAGTCGGTAGAAAAGTTATATATAAGTATAAATACTTTTGTATTTATACTTATTTGTCTAATTTTTACATACAGAAACAACTGAATAAATTGCAAATTGAAAAAGTAAATTAAAAAACTAACCCCAGCACTAATCCCACACAGAGGGTAGAGACAAGGATAATTCTGATTACCGACATCCTGTACTCCTTGTATAAGCACCGCCAGTTTAAAGCCAGTTCTATTCCTAACTCTTTTATACCCACCAAATATTGACTTAAAGAAGTTCTTCGACTTCTCGTGAAAATCTACTGAAACCGAAAAACTAGCACAGTAACTCTGTTCTTGACATAGCGGTCAAATGTTTATTTATTTATTTACATATAAACTATGTACTAGAACACGTGAATTTTCATGACATCACTGGAAGAACATTGCAAGGTTTTGCTGTTTTGGTGCCATTTTCTGTTTTTATTTTGATTCTATTTAGGAACAATTTGTTTAAATAAATTGACGATGTATTTTTTGACAAATACATGTAAGATACAATTTAATATCGAGTTGGAATTCGTCATTTATTAAAAAAAAAATCGTATACCTCAAATTCAGTGCATTTACAAATTTTAAAACCATTTGAGTTAATCTTGCAAAAAGAATTTTTTAACCGTTACAGACATTGGCATGTATTTTCTTGATCAGGATTCATCTATATTTGTCAATTATAATGCATATTTAATTTTATATTAAATTTGAAATGGGGGAAACAGTTGATAGGGAAGGGGGTAGTGTTTGAGACCTGCTCGTATTATTCAAATGCACAAAATATTGAAAATAACCCGTACACAGAAAGAAATGGCACGAAAAAGTAAAAAGACGGTTAAAGCAGTTTTTGTTTATGTTACATATAATATTCAATAGACGAAGTTGCTGATATATTTACTGAATTATTTATCTCTAGATAGTCCTAAATTTATTTTCGACAATAATTTTAATAAACTTCCGTGATCTAATTAACTGTTTGTCTGAAAGAAACACAAAATTTTGGGAAATAAACATAAAAAAATTTAATGCCTCTGAGAACTTCACTTGCAACTTTTTATTTTTTGATCATTTATTAAGACATAACTGATACAATATATAAACATGTTTCTGAATAAAAATTGCACGGGAGTTGCGAACGAAACACAGCGTTTGTTATCTGAAAAACAAATAGTGAATATAGAAATATTTAAAAAAAAGTCGTAAATGCAAACAATAAACTAAGAGGAACATTAATAGTCCATTAACATAAAATTTATTTTACCAACTTAAAGATTGTTTATGAACAGGTTTTGAATTACCAAATTTTGAAATGGTGAAGAACATCAATTCTCTTCGAATAACGTTTTGAACAGGTCAAATCAGCGCCCATATTACAAACAAATATTCTTATTGGTACCCTGGGATCTAACATAAATCTACCCTATATCCCAGGTACATGTTATTTATATAGTATCAAGTTATGCTTAGAATATTTATTTCTGATTTTCACTCTGAAAGTTATTCTAGATTAAATTCCATTAACAAATATATGCACGCCATTAAATAAACTTGGAATTGGTAGTGGTACGAAATTTAACACCCTTTCAAATGCTTCTCTTTTACTTTCTTTGTTCAGTTGACGGATTTTTCGTCTAATTCGGCACAACTTACAAATATTTGAAAATGGAGAGAATAAACTTCTACTCTAAATATGTTTTGTCAACTACGTTTAGCTATTTATTTAACCGCTTGAAGATATACTTTCAAATGTCATCGCTTATTAGACATATGCAATGATGATTTAATTACTGATTTATCAATCTTTGAATCTAAAACGTTATAATCGATGTTTGTGAATCAAAAATTTAACATGACATATTTGTCATTGTAACAGTAAACTAAATCAAGGATAAGATGAAACAAAATAATTGAAAGGGAAAGGGAATCTTAAAAACACACTTTATGAGGTTTCGAAAGGAATGATGTATAAAATTGAGGTGCAGTTGTCATTTTACTTAAATTAAAAATGAATGTTGTTATACTTTCAGTTTGTGGCAATTTGGAAGAAGATTTGCATTTGAAAAAAGGGATTTAATCGTTTCTGTAGAAGGTTGGTCGTATAATTTGATTTGACACATCACATGCAAAAGAAGAAACATTTTTAAAGAAATACCTTGTGATGAGTTATCCATATGTCTAGCTTGGGACATAAAATACAGGGCAAAGAGCTTCGATATATTCTAGAAATGTATTCAATGTACTCGAGATATTAAGAGAAACTAAGAGGTAACTTGAACAAACAGAATTAAATTAAAACGCAGCCTTTTATCTGTTATATTTTTGCGGCGTAAAGAACACACATGAACACGGATTTTCGTAAGTGATACAATTAACTTTTAATTTCCTTTGAAGAAAAATTCTTGGAATAAGAAAAGAACAGCATCTGTTTTTTTTTTTTTTTTGTCTCAGCCAAAAGTTAAGTTGATGTTAACAAAACTGAAATCTCACATTATTGAAAAATGATCTTGTATGTTGCAATATGATTGTTTTTCTTCTATGTAAAAAGGAAAATTCTCTCTATGATGGACACATTCAACGAAATATAGCTCAGAAGAAGAACATGCAGGCAAACAGAGATAAAAATGTTATTGAAAAAACCTCGAAATATCGCAACAACGTTCCGATAAATGGTAAAACTTGCTGGAGGACCAAGCTTTTCAAACGTGTCCTCCCCACTTTTTTGAAAGTGTGACCGGGGCCAGCCAGAAAAAATTTTACAACTTACCCGAAAATTTCGAAAGCCTATTATGATCAATTAAGGATGAAAAAAATTAAAAGGCGTAATAACGTCTTTTCAAAAGGCGTATTAACGCAAAAAAGGTGAAATAACACGAAGTAGAAAGTGTTATAAGCCAATAAAGGCATAATAACGCGATAAAAATGCGTTATGTCGCCTTTTCACTTCGCGTTAAAACGCCTTTAAAAAGGCTTTTTGACACCTGTTGAAAAGGCATAATTACGCGAATAAGGCTTTATACATGTAACCGAAGTGAAAAGGCGTTAAAACTCCAATAAAGGCGCAATAACGCGAAAAAAGCGTTATTAAGTCCTTTGAAAAGGCGTTATTACGCTTTTCAGGAAGGCGTTATTACGCCTTTTCAAAATGCGCAAATACGCTTTTCAAAAGGCATAATTACGCCTTTCGAAAAGGTTTTATTACACCTTTCAAAAACGCGTTATTTTGCCTTTCGAAAAGGCGTATTAAGTCTGTTTAAAAGCCATTGTTACGCTTTTCATCAGGCCCGTATTAACATTTTTGAAAGGGAGAGGTAGCCCCCCCCCCCCCCTTAAAAACAACACCAACACAAAACAAAACAAGAAAAAAAATTAAACTGTCTTTAGTCGAAAATCCTATTTCCGGGGGAACTCCGGGAAGGGGGGGGGGTAGTGGTGTAGGTGAATGGAATATTTTTCTAACGTTTCGGTTAAACTTTTTTAATGCAATAATTTCCAAGAGGTCGACGATTTTGCAACAAAATGTACATGGGCCAAGCAACCTATAAATGAATTAAAAAAAAAAAAAAATACAAGCAAGATTTTTATACCAAAATGTGGGATGAGGTCCCCCTTGTACTACCGGCCTGTTTGAATAGACATTATAGCGAATCGGAAAATGGAAAGGAGTTATTTTTTATGTTAGTAAATACGAATTGTGGAATCAAAACCATCTTTATTCATGCAATATTAAAAAAATAAATTCTATACTCCTGCACATCTCGCAGACAACGGTTGGCATAAGTGTTAAAAGAAGTCAACATTCTACTTCTGAAAATCCAGGATTTAGGCAGATGCAGCCTGGGGCTTTGCTAGTCATATATTAAAAAAAATTATTTCACATTTGAAAATCTTTTCTTTTCTCTTGCTAAAAAGCAGACATACTATTTGCTTGGGTAAAATGAGCAATTAGCCTTCAACCAAAATTGTGAAATCCATGACCCTTGGTCCAGGCGTCTGATATCAGAGAAGGACTTAGTTGTTTTAACATGGAAAATATAAAATCTTTTTCCTGGTAATATAATTACAATCTGTTTAAATAATTTTATTTGAGAAAATAGCCCTATACTAAACTGTGGAATTCATGTCCCGAGTGTCAACATCTCAGCTCCCTGGGTGGGCTATGTTAATCGTGTACTGAAAATAAAAGGCTTAATATCGTCTTTAGAAAAGGCCTGATACAGCCTTTTTAAAAGTGTAATAATGCCTTTGGAGAAGGCTTAAAAATGCTTCTTTGAAAGGTGTAATAACATATTTTTGAAGGCCGAAGAACGGTTTTTGAAAAGACGTAATACCGGCGCCGTTTTAAAAGGCATTATTATTATAACTCTTTTTTCGCGTAATATTGTCTTTTCCCCTCGCGTTATTACGCCTTTTCACACTTTGCATAATAAGGCCTTTTAAATTTTATCCCTCCATGAATTGATCCTTAAAGGTTTTCATAGAAAATAACTAAAAAAGTGAGTTGACAAAACTCGAAAATCCTAATCATTTTTCGTCGGGGGGGGGGGGGATCCAACTGTTTTCAAATTCTAACTTTATTAATGCAAAAGCAAGGGTCGATTATCGATTTGACTATACTGTAGCTATAAAAGGGGACGGGCAACTGGCCTTTCAATTTTCAACAGTATATGGTTTTGTTGGAAAAAAGGGGTGGGGAGGGGCAAGTTCTACGTGTCTGCTCCTCATTCAGTCTAAGACAGTTTTTAAAAGTGCACAAAAATATTTTGCAGATATAATACGACGAATAGAACATCAGGTTGAGTTGGTAAGTGACAAAGGAATGAACAATATCCATTTTTCGGTTTTTATTTATGAAGATCTTTAAATATACTTTCCTTTAAAAAGACCATAAATATATATATAAACTTTGTAAATATTGCAAGTTTACTGACCAATATCATATACTAATATATATATATATATATATATATATATATATATATATATATATATATATATATATATATATATAAAAGGTAATTATTTACATTAAATACAATAATTATTGAGCATAATTTGAAATTTTAACTTGTATACTGAATGCAATTTCACCTCTCATACATGGGATTCTATTGTCAATGATAAAAGCGTTATCTTTCTACAATGTATTC